AATTGCAAAAGTAAAGAAACAACTATTAATAGCTTAATTAATTGGCATTAAAAGTGCTTATTGCTAACATGTAGAAACATGCAGCAGTTTTCCTGATAATTATCAGCCTCCAAGGATACTCTGTTGTCTCTCTAGAAGAAGGGAGATAGGAAGAGAGCAAACATTTAATCTGCAGCTAATCTAGAGATTATTATCTGAAAAGGAGGACGGTGCAATAAGCAGCAGCTGGCAGCAGAACTGCTACTTCTAAGGTTCAGGTGACCCTCTTTTCCCAGTACATAGGACTAGTCACCAGAAGGTTAACCTGGGAGACTTAGACAAAACAGGGGAAAGCTGGGAGTTGGAAAGCTCCCAGAATATGTAGATTAGGAATCTATGTGGCACAAATAAGAGAATTACATTCAGAATCTCAGCAGTAGGATTTAATTCCATCATGCTTTCTGGTTTAGGAGTTTTGCTTATTATTCTTTTTAAGAGAACAGTCTAACAAGACTGCTTTTAAGAAAGCAGAGGAAGGAGATACATTTAAAATAAGATTAAGGTATCTCCAGCCTCTTTTTGTTCCTCATTTTCTCTTCATTTCTTCTTTGAATTTCTTATTGTAGTTCTTACTAACTCCTTGCATTCCTAATATATCCATTCCCTTCCTTTGTCCATCTCAGCACCACATACCTGCCATTCCCTTTTCATTTTCCTTCAGAGATTACACAACAATTTTACTTTCTTCGATTTGTCTCTCCTTTGCCTTTTAACTTATCTGTTTTCTTTTATCTTTCTTATTTTTCCCTCATATCTCATCCACACTGCAATAGTACCTCCAGACCCATCAAATCTGGATGATGAGAACTTGGTAATATTTGAAATCAGCATGTAAAACTACAACCATTAGTCAGGAGCATTTCACAATGCCCAGGTGAGACATTCAGTTGTGTGGAACTAATACAAGCAGTCAAAGAGAGAGAAAAGGAACCAGGGAGCTTCAGGAGTCAAGGACAAAGAATTTGGAGATAGGAGAAGATACCTCCTGAGTTTTGATATGAAGAGCTGGAGGAGTGGGAGAGGTTTTGGGAGGTGCTTTATGAATTCAGAGGGTGTGCTATGCTTTGGTGGGAACCCAGCAAGAGAATGACATTCAGGAGGATCTCAAAGGTACAACTGTTCAATGGCATAAAAGACACACATATATCACTCATTCCTTCCTGCTAACCAGGATCCCAAAATCAGGGCATGAGGATACCAATCCTGCTAGAAACGAGGCCCTCATGACCTCCTCTGAGGTTTGTCACTCTAGTAGCATGATGGGATTTTGTACATACATGGCTGAACTTTAAAATTGGAATAAGTTTGGCTCTATCATCCATATTTTCTCACATTCTCTGTGGGAGACACATTTCCTGTCATTCGCATGAAACAACCAGCAGTTTTAGAAATTAATAGCTTACCATTCAGAATGTAATAATATTTTTATCACTTTGGGGGTTACAGAACAGCATAAAATGGTGCTGCCCATCACAACAGACAAAATAATACTGCAGCTAAATACCTGCTTAGTTTCTGCTTCATCAGCAGCACTCACTCAACGTGATTATCCAAGTACCCTCATGCCTTGCAGGTGGGTTCAAAGCTCCCACTACTGCTTTTCTTAGGTTCTAACAGGCTGACTCACCACGCTGAGCTGCTCAGTTATTGATGTGTCTTTATGATAATCATAAGGGCTGAGGCAAAGATGCAATTGCATGATAATCTCTTACCTACAGATAATGAATAGGTAAGAATGAAAGCCAGACACAGAAAAATAAATTGAAAACATACTCATTAGAATTAAGGATGTAACTATGTTAATGTTTATAGTTCCCATTAGCACAGCTACCAAGAGCTTTGCCTTTTAAAATAGTTAACAAAAATTATGTTTTCCCCATTGAGGCTAATACTTGTAATGCACTATGGGACTAGATTTTCACAGTATTACTTCTACTCTTGTTTGCTTTCTGCCTTGAAGGAATAATTTCACGGAATTGCTCCTATTTCCTGTAAAGCAGACACTCCCATTGACAAAACCAAAAGTTCACATCTGTAGCTGTCACCTTCATTCCTGCAATGCTTTTAGCCCAGAGGCAAAGCACAGCTGATTAGCAGTTAAACCAGAACAAAAATAAGAAACACCAGAAGACAACATCAGAATAATTTTATCCATTAGCTAGCAAGCAAAAACTGAAGACCAGGATATTCTGCAAGTGATCTGTGCAATTAATAAATTTAAATATAGGAAGCAACTTGAGGCCAATAAATTAACCAACTCCTGCCCTTCAAGTCATTAAAAAGTATCACCTCTGCAGATCAAGAGTGCTGACTAGATGGGATTCAGAAGAGTAGACTATCACTGAGAAACTGTCACCCAGAGCAAACTCTACAATGCCAGTGATGAAGAAATTCCCCTGAATGTCTATTCTACTCTTCTTCCAGTCAAGAAGGAAAGCAATAAGTGGCAGGCTGCTAAGTTAGGCTAAATGATGCAGGGTCAGCTTACTTTTGTTGGGATGCAGCACATATGGGAGATGGGGACACAGGGACAGTATGATGGGGTTTTACTGCCTAGGGCAAGATGGGGGCCCATGTCTCAGGATCATTGCCTGTGGGATCTCTGGGTGAAGGCCACCAGTGCCCAAGGACGTGGACTGATATACAGAGGATCAGTACAAACCTCATTCAGGTTCTACAACAATATAGGACAAACAGGCATTTTCTAATGTCACACTGAGGATCTCATTGGATGACTCAGCTGGTTGCAGGTCAGGTGAGAGAGGAGAGTACAGACATGCATCTGCAAAATGAAAGTCACGGGTTGTTTGAGGCTTACAAGAGGATTTAAAGGAAGAACCAGATCTTGTCCAAGAACCTCCGCCATACCACAGGCACTGCTAGGGGCTAGCTTGTAGATCTGACTAGCTTACCTTGAGAGGGGAATAGCACCTGGTACGGCAAAGTAGAGGACACAATAGTGGCATGATCAGAATGAATTAAAATAAATTAAGATAAAATAACCAGCAAGAGAAGAGGGAATTAGTTAAGGGTAGGAATGGAAAAAGAGAAGAAGACCTCTTCAAACCTGGCCTCATTAAAGGTCTTGAAAGTCACAGAAAGGAAGTCCAGTTGCAGCTCTTGAAGATTCCTGAAACTCCTCTGGAAGAGGAGCAGATGGGAAAAGCAGCAAACGTGTCACACGAAATGGATTTGCCATAATGATAAACTGGGAGGCATGACCTGCATGTGCAGGGGGGTTGGACTAGATGACCTCTAGAGGTCCCTTCCAGCCTTAAGCATTCTATGATTCTATGAGACGGAGTTCAGACCTGGAATGGCTCCTTATAGTTATGTGTGGGTCTGGAACACATGACAGGCAATGCCGAAAGGGACTGGGCCTGTGTGATTTAGCAACAGAGATCACAAGGAGAGGAGCACTTGATGAATCAAGTAAACAATCAAGTAAACAATCATTTTAATGCACTGGAGATTTAAAACAGGGCTGCAAATGGTATGGAGGTGTGAGAATCTGGAAAAGACAGCTGGGGGAAGGACACATCATCACTAAAGAAGGTGAGGTTATTGAAGGTGAGTGTGGGAGTCTGAAGAAGCAGAGGACTTCAAGTCATGGTGGACTGCTAGAAAGAAAGAAACAGGACATGATAGCCAGAGAGAAGCAATTTTTTCAAACTTTTAGAATTTCACATTTCATTTAGGACTTCGTTTAAGAATGTATTTTTTGCTATGATTGTGTAATTCATAATGTACCACTCATAGCTGTGTGTGTGTGTGTGTGCACTAATATATGCTACTTCAACATAGGCAAGTTAGAGTTTCATTCAAACTTGAAATAATTAAGGGTAGATGACACTGAAACATTTTATCTTTTTTTTTTTTAATATCAACATCTCTGTTGTAATGAAACAGTTTTACAGAGTATTTGCACTATCAAAAACCTTCATAAAGCAAGTAATTATCTTGGTCTTCAGCTCAAAAATTAGCTTGATGAAAACAGCTTGTATTGCTTGTAAACAATTAGAAACTGAAAAAGTTATATAATTACCCATCAGTATAAATTATGAATATCAGCATAGAACACTTAGCTTGCCCAGTTACCACAAACTCTGAATGTCTTCCAGTTTTTAATTTTTTTTTAATGCTTATAGCATTCCTACATTATAATAGCAGGAGGTAGTACCAAACATGCTGAAATTAATGGGAAGTAGATGCTGAACTGGCGCCATGGTGAAAAACACAACTCTAGGTTAGGTACTCACATGTGCGCCTTAAGAGCTGATTTTGACTCACAACACAGTCTGGAAAAGTCACTTCTAAGGGAATTTCCAAACCAAAATAAAATTCATTCCAAGGTACAGAAAAAAAGAATGTTTTCCATGTAAACTCTCTTTTCTGTAACTTATATATACAGCTTTTCATGTTATTTGCAAGTAAATTTCAGGCTGACATGAAATGTAAAAATAAAATATACTTTTCTCTATTTCTTTAAAACTGTCTAGATTTTTAACATATTCTTTTTCTGTTTGTACCAAGTTTAGAATAAGAAAGACATCTGTAGCTTGTTTGTCTGCACTTTACATGTAACTTTTACCAGTGAAATAAATTTTAAAATAATTTGTATTTACTACATGTCAATGTCCCATATTTCCTAGCAACTTTGTTTTATATATGTGTATATATGTTTAATGCATATGTGCATATGTATGTATATATACATACACACACAGAGACATATAAAATATTCAACAGTGAAAATCAAATTAAGCAAACAGCTATAAAGCTAATCAATATTTTGTTTAATTGGTTGATCTTGGCTTGAAGCTTCGTAGAGAAGAACCACAAGCTAAGAAAAAGCCTTAGTACTTTCCCAAGTCTGTATTGCTCATCTCCAAACAGGTTTTTGATGCTTTTGCATGGGAGAAAAAAAAATCCAACTATCTTTCTGAAACCTGGAATGGCATTTAATTTTTCTGTTGCTTTTTGTGTTCTATTGCTGAATTCAAAGCCTGAAGGATCAAATGTTTGTTGTTCTGGATGTTGTAGCTGGTGAGTTTTACCAGCTTGTCAAACTCCTCCTCGGTGTAGGTGAAGCTGTTTATGCAGTAAGGAGAGGTGGAGCTGGAAACATCCACGTTGCCCTGGCCCAGCTCAGATGGGCCACGTTCCACTCCTGCCGGATAAACACAGACCATTAACAGGATGCTTCTGTGGTCCAGGCATGTTTTTTTTAGCTAAAAAGGGAGATTTCTCCCACTCTTCTTTCAAGTAGCTCTAATGTTTCCATTCGGGCTGGAGCAGAGGGGCCCCTTAGCCTCCTAAGAGGCCTGGCAACCTCCAGCAGGGCTCAAGGGCCTGTTTGGCCTGGTGGCCTCTGGAGGGACCTCCCTCTCACCCAGGGACACTGGAGTAAGGCTGTAAGAGGGTTGGCAAGTAAACTGCGTCCTGAGAAGTGCCAGGTGCCGGCAAGAGAGGCAAGCCATGGTGGCCCTTGCCTAGGAGCACTGCTATTCTCGGCTCCTGCTCCTGCTGCCTGGAGTCCTGGCTGGCTGGCAGCAACGGGACAAGTGGCAGCTTACCCGGCTCTCTGTATGTCCTGAATGTGTCATTCACCAGGGGGAAAAACACCACTATGGGCGCCTGGGGTGTCTCCCGGTCTTCAAAGACGTAGCACTCCTTCAGGTTCCTCTCCTCTTCATCGCTCAGGTGGATCTTGGGAAAAGGGATTCCCTGTTTTAGGAAGTACTTGGAGGCTTTTTCCAAAGGCTGCATTTAGACAAGAAAAAAGAAGAAGAAGAAAAGGTCAGAAACACTATTCCTCCAGCTTTCTTCAGTGCTCAACACATCGATTAAAGGCCTCCTCACAAAGACAAGAAACCTGTGCTCACTATCAGTGTTTTTTTTCTGGTCTTTGCTTCTTTCAGAAGGTAATAACTATTAGTTATTAGCAAAATAACATGTCAAGACCAAACCTCTAACCTCCTGCTTGGTGTCATACCTCCCACTCAGCAACTATCTGTAAGATAAATAAAATATTCACAGCTGCAACCAGGGTCTTGCTTAGCAAGGTAGAGCACAGAAACATGCCCACTGCTGAAGAAAATCCTAAAATCAACAGAAAATGCAGATTCCAGAAAATGCAAACATCTTTTTAACTTTGCATGAAATAGCCAAAAGCCCTTAGCTCTCTTAGATGCCTAAAGATTGCTACAAAAAGTGATGTAGACATCATGGCACAAACATCTCCTTGACTGAAATGTTAATTTAATTTTTCTGAAGTGTTATTCACTTTAGAAAACAAGCCATTTCCTCCTGAATATGGTCAGCACTTCTGAAAACTCATCTCTAGTCTTCAAGAAGCTCTGTCCTATCCATACCAAGCAACAGGAGCTCTAGGCTACGTTGTTAGCTGGTACTTGAAACAGCAAACATGGACATTATATTCTTCTCCATGACTTTGAAAAAAATGACAAGATAACTGGACAAGTTACTTCTTATCTGACTGTATATATCTATCTTTAGATATCATGAGATAGAAAAAAAACGAGTTCCTAAGTGGTGGTACTGGTTCCTGAAAAATACTGAAAAAGGGGATAAAAACAGCTATATCGAGGCCCTGGTGGCACACAGGTCTAGAGGATGGCCTGTTATCTATCCTAGCTTTAATTAAAATAAAAACTTTAGAAAATTTTTGTTCTCTTTAGGGAATTTTGCATGATATATTAGCATCACCATGAGATCTAGACATCTAGAACCTGAAACTCTCAGTTAAGATTTTTTTCTCCTAGAGTAGGTTTCTTCTATGTAAACTTATTCTGACTCTATAGGAATTTAAAAGGGCTAAGGTTATTATTGGAGAAAACAGAGTACTCCTCGCACCGATGTCTGTGATCCAGAAGAATAGTTTAAGTGTAGGACAATATCCACTTTCCTCTCCGGCCTCATGAGTGGTGGGTAGCTGATATCGATGTATCCAGCTGTGTCTGCCAGGCACAGGAACTCTGCTGTTTGTGTCAGTTGGTTAGGGAAATTGTCTAGCACAGTATCTAAAAGAAAATATTTCTTATGGTAAGTGATACTGAAGAAGTGATAGATGTGCTATCTGGCTAGCAAAAGAGGAATAAAACATAACTTGCCTCCCCACTGCTTTTGTTCTTCCAAGACCCTGCTGCTTTACTGAAGCTCAACCTTAACTCAGAGAAAAAAAAAAAAAAAAAAAAAACACAGATCTTGTCCAAGACAAGACAATAGCGCTTTCCCTTCTCGTGCAGCAATCTCCTCCATCCTTGAATAGCAATAGTTGCCCATCTCTGGAACAAAGAGACTTCTTGGAGTATCTATTTAGATTCTACTTTCAGTAAAAACAGAGCTGTCCAGAATTTGTTTTGCCAATTCACATGAGACACAGTGAAAAAGTGACTGAAATCCAAAAAGTCACTTCTGCTGAGGATTTTCAGTTCTGTCCAGCTGATTTGACTGCATGACATTTAATTACACTGTTTTTTTTTTTTTTCCACAAAGAGACTTCTTGGAGTATCTATTTAGATTCTACTTTCAGTAAAAACAGAGCTGTCCAGAATTTGTTTTGCCAATTCACATGAGACACAGTGAAAAAGTGACTGAAATCCAAAAAGTCACTTCTGCTGAGGATTTTCAGTTCTGTCCAGCTGATTTGACTGCATGACATTTAATTACACTGTTTTTTTTTTTTTTCCCCCGGAGTGTTCCCCGGAGTGAAGGTTAAAGCCTGATCATCATCTTTTCACTAATAAAAATGTCAAACCATCTCATTGGGCAAAAATTAAAATTCTTTTTTTTTTCTTTTTTTACCTTTCCACATACAAAAGCTTTTGCTCTGGAGGTACTCATTGTGCAACTGGAGTCCCTTTAGGAAGTTGAAGAACTTTGAAACCAACACTCGCTTTGTCAAGAGCTGCCGAATAATATCCATGATGCCACACTCAGGGGTCACCAAGTAAGTCTCCAACTCATTGTTCTGTGCTGGTAGCAAAGGCTCTTGTTCTGCCAATCAGTAGAGGATATGAACAAATTATTGTCTTGATGCTGTCCTTTGTAATAATTGCAATGACAAAGCCATATCACATTAGCTAAAGGAGAGAAAATCCTAATAAAAATGTGACAACATACTTAATCTCAAAATAGGAACAAGAAGAGAATCAACATTCAATAAAGCATGTTTCTTAGAAAACAAAATGAATGCAGAAACAAACTTATTAAACCTGGAAAAAGTGATCTATTCTTGATAGAAATTAAGCTGGATTCTCTGTGCGTAAATTCATAGAGGCTGAGAATCTGGACTTGTTTCTTCCGAGATTAAACCATCTTTGACAAAAATGGTTTCAAGGCAAGAGATTTAGATTCATGGAAAAGGAGAGGAGAAAAAGAATTATGCTAATTCATCAGAGCTGCTATCAAGGGCATTGTTTGACCTCATTGTTTTGCAATACCTCTATGGCGGGAGTGAAGAAGAGCACATAAATCAAACTTGTTATTCACATTCAGATACAAGACTTTGAAGGACCATAAATGGATACTGCCAAATCAAAAAATGGCAAGAAAAATACAACAGTGTTCCAGGTGATTGATATATTCAACTCTATAACAGCAACACTCCTGAAATGTGATCTGCCAAGGCAGACAGAAAGCACAGCACTGAGATGTTTGCAATGTCATGTAGGTTAACTGAAAGGCCCCCAGCAAATGTAATCTAGTTTAAAAACTACAGGAAATTATAGTTTCATATTTGGTCACAAATCATCACCTATATAAATTCATCCAAAGGAAACTTGTGGAAATAATGCTGCTAAAAAGGAGTTCAGACATGAGAGCAGAAACCCAGTTGCATACATATTACTGCAATGTGACAGCTAAGAGTAAAAAAAGAAGCAGTGCAGTATTGGCACCAGCTTTAAGATACAAAAACCTTTCATAAAATTTTCACACTATTTGTGTCTGAACATAACAGTTATCTAAAGATTTATAAGACAATAGGCAAAATTAAAAATAGAAATATAACCAACCAACATTGACAGGTCTGGGTTGGGTGCATCTCAGTGACACTCGTCCTGAAGAATCTGATGAATGCCAGGCATCCAAGAGGTTATAGGAGAAGACATTGCTCCACAGGCCTGTATAATGGTTAAGAGAGAGACAACTATGGGAACATTTTGCTGGAAAAAAACTTTTCTTTTTCTACAGATTTTTAAAAATAAACTTTTAACTTATAGATTCACAGAATGGTTGAGGTTGGAAGGGACCTCTAGAGATCATCTAGTCCAACTCCCCTGCTCAAGCAGGGACACCTAGAGCACGTGGCACAGGGTCACACAGAGGTGGAGTTTGAAGATTTCCACAGCCTCTGTGGGCAGCCTGTTCCAGGGCTCTGTCACCCTCATAGTAAAGAAATTCTTCCTCACATGGAGGTGGGACTTCCTGTGTTTCAACTTGGACCCATTACGCCTTGTCCTGTCACTGGCCCCATCAAGAAGAGTTTGACCCCATCCTTTTTATATTTTCCCCTCAGGTATTTGGACATGTTGATGAGATCCCCTCTCGATCTTCTCCAGGCTAAACAGGCCCAGCTCGCTTAGTCTTCCCTCATAAGATAGACATTCGAGTCCTTTAATCATCTTTGTTGCTCTATGCTGGATCCTCTCTAGAAGCTCAATGTCCTTCTTGTACTGGGGAGCCCAGAACTACACCCAATACTCCAGGTGCAGCCTCACAAGAGCTGAGCAGAGGGGAAGGATCACCTCCCTCGACCTGCTGGAGACTCTCCTCTTGATGCAGGATCCCCTTGGCCTTCTTGGCCATGAGGGCACATTGCTGCCTCATGGTTAACTGCTTGTCAACCAGAACTCTCAAATCTCTGTCCACCAAGCTGCTTTCCAGCAGGTCAGCCCCAACACTTGGAACAAGTTTGTGAAAGCTTCAAGGTTTCTAACCTCTCACTAAAATCTGCAGTAATTTCTTTTACATTTTGTCTTCATAGAATATTCTAAATGGTTTTAACCACTGTGCCAAGTCATTAGCTACTATAATTCATTGCCACATACATCTATATCAGTATACTACAAAACAAAGCTTTCTAGCTAGTATATTCCTGTACAAAAAAAAAAAAAAAAAAAAAAAAAAGGGGGGGGGGGGGGAGAAGTTCATTTGGAGATAACTGCTTGCCAGTTTTTGTCAGCACAGTCTCAGTTCTCAGCCGTCTGAGAAGCTATTGTGCAAGCCTGAAGTGAAAACACTGCTATAAGGAGAGGCAACATCTTTTCCAAGGCTACAGAGATGAAAAAATAGACAAGCTTTCAGGCACCCCAGGCTTTCTTTGGTAAATCCGAATTCTGCATCCCCAAAAGTTTATATATTCTTTCCATCTCTGTCACCACAGTTCTTATAAAGTGTATATCTCCTACCAAATTATACCTCACTTTTTTCCTTAAACCATTGTACCGTAGCTCATAGTACATTTTAATTGCAAATCAGAAGGGCACATGCATATTGTATCACTAGATGGCAGTGTTACTCTAACTCTCCGTCCTGTCTTTTCTAGAACTACATCTATGTTTTACATAAATTCAGCTACCGGGACTGAGCCCAGGCTGGGAGTGATGGGTTATTTGCTAACAAACCTAGACCATACCGTCATCACTGCAAAACTGCAAATGAGGTACAAGTTTTCAGAAGAGTGCCTCAGTAGTCCCACCTAGCTCCAGAATCTACTTAAGGGAATAAATTGGCAAGTATAAAGGGACTTCTTTCTTATTGTACTCTCCTAGTATCTCACCAATCTTTTGGTACTTAGGACTTGCAGTGCTAGTTCTTGCATCTTAATGGTTATGTTTCAGATATACAAATGGCCTTATCTCTATGAATTTGCTCTCCTCCTTTTGAACCTATAAATACTTGTGGCTCCTGTGACACTTCCTGCCAGTGAAGTCTATGATTTCACTCTGCTTGGTCAGGATCCAGTTCCCATGGCACCACTCTGTGCCCCTTATACTCATACAGGAATACATAGGGAATTTAAATTCTCTCTTCACTTTCTCCACTTGATTCAGGATTTTGGAGCTTTCTACAGTATTCTTCTCAAGTCACCTCTTTTTTAACTCATTGCATTGCGAAAAGTTCCAGGCATAGCCATTGAAGTTCTGAGAATTAGCTATATAGTTAAAAGTAGGTTTCACATCCAAATATTTTATCGTGATTGTACTAACACGACTGTGGACTCCTTTTGCATCGTACATTGAGGAGTATAAGGTCTCTGTATACCAAATAAGAAATACCATATTGCTAGTTTTATAGGTTTACCTTACTGGACTTGGCTATTGCTGGCATCCTTGGTGTTCTATAGTGTATCATGTTTATTTACAAGTAATGTGTTTACTGTTCAGAGTTTAAGGACTCTTCTACAGACAACCTAACCAGGATATGAAGGGGTGTGGTAGAGAATCCTAGCATTACATAAAATTAAAACATGAAGAATTGCATAAAACCCTCAAAGCTGTCTGTCATCTATTATTGGGAACCACCCACTTTAATGAGATAAGGGTGTCAAAACTCCCTGATTTAATCATGCGAACAAAATTACAAAGCATTTGCAACACTATTAAGCCAGCAAAAATATAATTAAGGGGAAAAATATAATTGGGAAAAATATTCAAAATTGTTGTATTTTCTAACAAACTCAGCAATAACCTTGCTTTTTGTTTTAGACTAGACCATAGCCAAATGTGGCTTTAGGATTCCACTTTCAACATACGAATATCAGCCCTGAAACTTCAGACTTAAAAATCACTTGGAAAGCAAAAGTGAATAGCATTATTTGAAACTTTCTTTGAGCACTTTTCTACCCAGTTATCCCATCTCCAGGCTGAGGAATTTGATCAGTGCTTTGGAACAACTTATTGTACATTATATTTCAGTCCTGCATGCTGCAGGCACTGTTTGCAGAATGCAGAAACTGTATTACAGGAAATACATTTTTACACAATCCAAACTTGGATGACCATATCACCTTGCATAAAGCAGATCCTCGATTCAGGGAGCTTCTTCATCAGGCGACCCATGAAGAACTGACTGCCAAAATCTTCTGCGCGAATGAAGGCTCCGTATTTTAAGAATCCCACCTCATAAGGGGTGAACTCCACCCATTCTGCAAGCAGAGACACGAATTGGACTTTTAATTCTGAATCCCATCCCTGCTTCCTTTCAGGCAAAGCTCAAATGAGAAGGAAGCAAGTGTAGGACAAGCCCTTTCAAGAGGTTGATCACAGACTGGTTTTCATCAGGGTAATTAATTGTCGTTTACCTAGTTTTGGCCACTCTCTCAAGTTTCCTTAAGGTTTTCATATAGAACCTTCCAAAGAGCCCCTCCAGGTAAGAAATGAAGTTTATACCAGAAAGAATTGGCTTAAGTTGCTCTACATACAGAACCAAAGGTGTGTTTGGCTATCCTAAAGAGCCTTCCACAAATTTCACTTACCCAGAGACTGAGCATAAAAGAAATTGAAAAAAGAAGAGGACATGAGTGCTGGGATTCAGAAGTGCAAGAGCTGCAGGTGTGAAAAAATAATGCAAGTCATTCATACATCAGCTGAGCCCCGATGTGACTCCGTTCTGCCATCACCTTTAAACTCTGGAAGGCTGTAACGTTCTTTCATGTTGAGGATCATGTAGATAGGGAGAGGATTCTGACCCTGATCCAATGCCTGCCGCTCATCTGAAAGCTTATGCTCATTTTTCTGTGAATTGACCAAAGAAAAGGAAATGTGTAACTATGGTACTGTCATTCATTGTGACTGGTCTTAAAGAATAATAAATATTTGTTTCCAGTTACATTTTCTTATTCTCTTCACTCATTTTGTCCATACATTCTTTTTTAACAACAATAAAAAAGTAAACATTTATACATCCTTGTACGCTCATTAAGCTACTGATGAGCTGTAGAACAGTTCGAGGTACTATGGGTAAGGAATATTTAATTTCCTATAGAAAGAAAAAGAGAATAAGAAAGCAAGAGCAGAACTCTGCTGTGAAGAGCTCAGATATTCATACAGATAAGAGGCATTCAGGTTCGGTACTCTACTGAGGACCTTCAGGTTGGTGCTTATGTGCTGAGAAGTACATGGGATGAAAGCCCTGTTAGTCAGGAAAAATCATCTGCCTGGATAATGCTGGCAATGCTATAAGGTCAGCACCTGTTCCAAGAGTTTCATTTTCTATACAGTGGTGTTCAGTACCAGGGAAAAAATATATGCACAGTACCCCATCATTTAAAGCTTTTTCTAGTAGAAGCCCCCAGAAATCAACGCTAGAAGTCTGGTATCCCTCTTGCTTCCGCAGCTTTAGTTCCTTGTCATAATACTTAAAGCTTTCCAAAGAAAAGCAACTGAGCTTGCACTTAGTCATGTGCCTCCGGACTTCACTAATCGGCCCAGACAGATCCTTGTGTGACCAGTCAGAGCTCTGATACAAATGTGACAAAGTCCTGTGGAAAAGAACAGAATTACATTGTCATATCCTCACATACACTTTCACTTCTTAGATTTAAGGACCACATCAAGTTAACTACTTGAGACCCATTGAAAACACCTTTTGAGCTCAGTTTATCAAGCAAGAGAAAATATTTTTGGATTTAGAGCACCTCCAAACCCATAGCTAAACTTGAGGAGTTGTGAAAGCCCCTCCATGCAATCTGGGTACCCTGGGCTTTGTACACAAGCTACCAGGGTCACACAAATCTCATAACAGCTTCCAGGAAAGATTTTAGAGATGAAGAGAGAGGCCAGGTAATAAGCTGTTGCTCATTAGCACTGCCCTGGCCATGTGCCATCTCAGGCACTGGGGGAACAGCTCCAATCATTGCACTGGTTCCCGTTCCTGCTGCTGATGTGGCCAGGGAGAGACCTCATGTCCCTTTTCAGTGATGGCCTCTTAAAGTTCCCAGAACTTGGCAAATTAAAATAACTGTTGTTAATAATTGTCTGTTAACATGCTAACCCTGTGAGTTAACTATCAAATATTAGGCAGGTAAAAAATAGGACATAATCAATTTTGGATTAGAAACTGAAAACTCGAAGAGGATAAAACCAAGTAAAATATTTTACAATGTGATACAGTTGTCTGAAACAGGATTGCCATCCTGCAACAATTCTAGTTTCAGAAGCTATCCCAATGCAACAACAAAACTACCTGAGACAAAATAGGATGCTTTCTTTCACCCAAATGAAGAGAAAAAAAAATCTCTTCACACAGCAAACTACAGAGGTGACAAATGACAGCTTTGTTCAGGGTCTCCTTACCATGTTGAGCCAGATGAGCCAGTGATGTATGAAATAGCATCTAAGAGACCCGACTTCTGAAGGCCCAACAGGTTGCCTAACAAAGATGTCAGTGCCCGGGTGCCACCCCCTGTTGTCATGACTGCTACAACTGGTACCTGTTTACACATCAACACAAGCAGTTGGTAAGCAAAAATTTAGCTTACATTGAATTTAGCACATCAGGTCAGAGCTGAGTAAATTACAGATTTTCTGTCCCACAGGACAGTCTAACATTTAGGTATTACCCAAAGTTGGGGAAGAAAGAATGAAATGCTGGTTTTTGAACAGAATTTATTTTTTTTGAAAATGGCAATTTGCTAGTTTTTGACATTTTTGATCAAAAGATTCCAGGCTTCTAAATTGCTACATGCTAGTTTATTGAAACAGCTCAAAACTTCTTGTATCAAGGCATTTCAGTATTAGACTGCATTTTCCTTAGCATGAACATCATCTCATGACAGCTCTACGCTGAGAACCAGACAGTCTCATTCTCTTTTATTAGTCAGGTGCAATGACTGGATTATATTTGCCATAAAGCATCTTGAGTACTTAATGGCCATCATGAACCACAAAGCCTAATTGCATGGATGCCTTATTTGCACTTAAAAATACTAAATTCTGTCCCCCCTGCCCCGTCTTATTTTAAACGGCTGGAATACTTCTTTTACTTGAATTCTAATCTGGCAAATGGAGTTTGAGACTACAATTAGATTTTGAAGGAGCTGTGGTTCATATATTCTGAGATGTATGCTTGTCTTCAATTTCAAACAGCAATAGCAGCGCCATCCAGAATGATGTATGATTTCTAGATAGCTCTAAGTCAGACAGATGAAAGGAAAATGTCTTTGTGCTGTCACAGTGACGATACAGTCGAGATGATGAGCACCAGAGGAAAGTCTGCAGTAAGAAACTTAATGAGTATCATGTATCACATGTTCCCCTAGAATATGATAATATAAAATACCTTATTTAAGGCCTTGATGCGTGAATGCTCAGGTAGGAGAGAAGGATTGTAAGTCACAGATGAAAGAAGAAATATGGCAAAGAAAAAGAACATGATGTTTCATGGTAATTTTGGCAGTAAACAGGTACAGCCAGCAGTCTGGATACCACTTGTGCACTCCCACTGTTTCATCTGAACATTTTGAATGCTTCACATGGGAAACTGAACACATCAGAGCTCTTTAAAGAACGATATACTAACAGCTACAAACACAAAACACAGCACAATCTAAACTATCCGGTGCTCCACATACCTCATGGTCCTGTAGGTCTTGCTGTAAATTAAGGGCTTTTTTTAGAGCAGAAGACACAAACTTCTTCCGCTTCTGTAGGAAATTGGTCTCCTCCGAACAGAGATCAAATGCCAGGCGAACATCTAATTTTTTTCTCCTTAAAGTTCAGGGTGAAACAGTAAGTAAAGCCTATGTATGTGATATGGAGCTGCACTCACAAGCCATAACCCTTGCAACTATGCTAAGAAAAGCCAGTCCTACAGCCCTGCAAATGCTCATCAGCAGAGGGCATAGACAAGATGGAGAAGAGGCTGAGAGGGATTTTTAAAAATGTAAAATCTTATGGAAAAAAGTGGAAATATGGTTTACTTCTATGCTGATTTTCAAAAACTTCCTAACAAGTCCTGCAATCTGTGTACAAATACTATTAACAACAGAAGACCTCCAAGTTGTATCTATAAAAATATTCTCATTTTTTTGGAAGTTCAGAATAAATGCACTCTTTTATTAGCTTGTAGCTCCAGGGATTGTGCAGACAGAAAAGATTATTCTTCCCATTAAGCTTGAACTGCTGCCTAACACACATAATGGGAAATTTCAACCAGCACAATTAAAAACGTCTAGTTCCTAGTTACACGTAACTAACCCTCCCCTGGTAAATAAAGCCAATTACTTAATACTATTTTCCTCAGATACAGAAAGAGGTTAGAAGACAGCAAAGTTGCCCAGCATCTTTATTCATAACCACAAAACCCAGAGAGAGGTTTTCTTACCAGTCTTTTGACTTCAGCTGTAAATTAATTGTTTCATCCTGAAAAACATAATAGAAGTACTAGAGATGATTTTTTGTTTGATTCTTTCCTTTCAGTTAGCATTGAGGTCCTTCACTTTTTCTGAGAGCACTACTGAGCCCAAAGCCAAAACAATTAGAAAATCCATGTATTTTTAAATCTTTTGCAAGTGTACCATATTTTCACTCAAATATTTTATCCCAAAGATTCAGCTATTTTAGATATGCAGAGCTGTATATAGCAAACACCACCATCACCAACGTTTCAAATATGCTGAATATCCCCATTTTGGAAAATACATGGCTTGGGATGTTTGCTGAGGGGGGTTAATTTTTGTTTCTGTTCAATTCAGATGAAAATATACAGACTTATAATACTTTCTATTTAGCAACGTAAATTCGGTCTACCTGAGTACCAGCTCACAAACAGCTGAATTACCTTCCAGGCACACTATGAATGTGTTCTTATTGGGAAATAATTTCAAAAGCAGTGTAAAATTCCTCCATGTTGCTCAGGACCTGCTGAGCTTGTGGTTCAGTAACACAAGGCCACTGTAGCAATATCAGCCTTGGGGATTCCTGTCCTATAAAAACCTTATGAGAGTTGCTGTACTTCAGAGGTAAGAAGAAACACCCAGGCCTGAGGATTTCATGCTATCACCATCTCGTGTAAGTCAGCAAGCAAGTCATAAATTCTGAGAGTGGTCTGCTGTATTTCATGCGAGTTTTAATTAACAGCATTATTTGTTATAGTTATCATGAGATAGATAGAGTATCTTAAATGTGCTATGCTGACCCGGGGTTCCGTCACACCACCAGCATAACCTGTTTTTATTTTGATGTGATTTTCTAATTCCCAGGGGAGTATAGATGAGCAGGACTAGCAACTATCACTCTTTGGACCCAGTCTTCAGATTTATTCTAAAAAGCTGTCGTCAATCACCTTGGCTACTGCTATTTTCTCCTTGAGGGGAAGTGAATCCAGAGGAATAACAAGGGATGAACTGCAGTCTTTTTCCTCTTCATCTGCTGTACACTGAAAAATGCATTATAACATAGAAAAATATTTAATGTATGTGCCACAAGAAAGCACTGTCACAAAATTATTTCTCTCAGACAAGATCAATATCCAACAGTCTCCAGGTTGGCATATAGTATTAGGTTTTTTAGTGGGTACTGCGCTTTTACATGGAAGATTAAGCAAGACACTATTTAGCTAAAAATAAAAATTCTTTCCAATTGCCTCACTGAAATTGCTTATAAATATGGCAAACTATCCATTTGTTTTGCTTGCTTAAGCAAATGGCCACTTACCAAGCAGAAACGTGACTTCTTTTCTGGCAGTGCAACGTGTAGTTCTGACTGCCTGTACTTGCCATAGTGGAACACAATGGGCCCAGCAGGCCTGAGGGCAGAGCGCAGGGAAAGCTTCTGCCTCTTCTCATAGGATCCCTTCAATGCAAATAGGAAGTCTTTTTCTAAAAAAAAAAAAAAATAGAGAGATAGATAGATAGATTACAGAAAGCAAATGTTAAGCAAAGTTAGAAGCTGTTTTTACATACATGCAATAAACAATGCTAAAAAGCTTCCAGATTCTAAATAATAATTATCCAAACAAAGAGCATTGCAGAAATAAAGGAAAAGAAATGAAGAGCTCACATAGCAGCAAAAGGAGCCTTTGTAGAAACAATGAAGGAAAAAAAGGAAGTAAATTATTGATATAGAAAATAGTATTTAGTTCTATTTTACAGCACTGATAAATTTCACACTCCAATTTTGAAGTCCGGTTTTCAAAGTTAGTCAGCACAGACACTGACAATTGCTAGATCTGTGGTCCCACACATATTCCCAACCATGCAATTACAGGATGAGAAAATGACAGAAAATGAAAAGAACTGAAACAGCCAAGCTGCTTCTACTTCACAGGGTTGAAAAGCTTCCTGTGCTTCCTTGTGCTTCCTTCCTTGTAGAACTTTTTTGACATAAAAAATAAATAAGTGAAAGAGTTATGCTTTTTTTTAAATTTACTATTAAAAAAAAAATCCTTCCAGCTTGAAGTCTAACCTGAAGCTTCTTTCTTCGTCCATGTATTTTCCACCTGGACTTCCAAGCAGGAAATTTCACGAGACTGAAGCAGGGATGAATGACAAAAGAATTAAGGACACAAAACACACTACACCTGAGTCACTTCCTTGCTATCTATGTCTTGCCATCAGGGCTTCCTGGGTTCCAGAAAACTGCCCACCTTCTGTTTACTTCATCTGAGAAAAGGATGACATAGGCACTCTGAAGACGTGCCAGGGTTTTATCTGAAAGAAAATTGGCATCCTTGGTCTATCCTAAAGTTTTCCAGGGCTGAGGAGGATGGGGAAATAACCAAGGAAGGAACAGAAGGGTGCACAGCCCTCATGAGGGTGAGATGGTGGGTCAGCCAGGTCACAAGGCTCTCCTTGCAGACAGCCACCTGGCAGACCTTGGTTACCTCCTCTAAATCATCAGTCAGGAGCACTCAAGAGGGCTACTCCTATATGATCCTACAGAAGTGAGGAAAACATAGTGTCCGTGATGAGTTTGCTAAGAGAAATCCATGCAGGGGATGAAACAGATGCAATGAGTCAATGGAGCAGCGCTGCCCTCTCAGCCATGGGGCTCGCAATCAGCTGGTGACAGAGGACACTTTTTGGGCATCCCAGGGCCACAGCGAGGCGGAGCCCAGGGCAAATATGGCATCCAATTCCCTATCTACCTCTCCTTCAGCTCTGTCTGCAGTGAGGTGTTGGGGCATCTCCCAGATTCACTGGTCCCATCACCAGTGTGAAAATGAACATGAAGTACTAAAAAAATAGAAGCAATTAAAAATTACCACTAATACACCATTATTGACAAGCTTTTCAGGAGGAACCGGACTGAAAGATAAAAAGTATATATTATAATCAGAACTAATCTGAGCTAAATGCAGCATTAAATGAACAACAGAAATAATACTTTCCTTACCGGCTGCCTTGCCCAGGACAGTCTCTAATAGATCACTGATTTTAAAACTCACTGTGATTTTCAAAGGGGATATCTGATATGTGGCTTCCTTATTTTTATAAAGGTAATTGCAACGAATAGTAATAATTAGCACTGTGGTTGCAGTTCTTCTTACATTTCTCCTTCCTCCTCCTTCTCTTCCTTCTCCAGGAGACATTGAGCTAGATTAGTATATGGGATGATTCCTGATAGATAAGGAGCATAGTGTTTCTGCTAATGTGCAACTAGCTTAGTAAACACCTGCTATTTCTGTGATGATGCTTACTGTTTTAAACTATAACATAGTAAATCCTACCTGTATTTATGAGTGCTTGTTTTTATAAAGTACAATTCTTCAGTCCTGTGGAATTTTTACTCACATGCTCTCTGATGCAATCTCTACCTCCAGCACTTCTTGTGTCTGTGAAAGATTAATCAATTCAGAGTGTTTGCAGTCATTTTCTTTCTCACCAGCTACTCCCGTCAGTGATTAATTCGTGTTCCTAAAATAGCTCTTAAAATCCAATTTCCCTCCTCTTTTATGCTGAGATGAGTGAAAGCTAATGAGTTAGAGTAACTTTGGAAGTTATTTTCATGACACAAATAAATGTCAGGCCCCAGTTGTTGGACAGCAGTTGATTGCACTTGTCTGTCCAGTTGTAAGGCAGAGCAGAATGGTCCGGGCCCCTGCCTGCAAATGGCTCAAAACTCTGATGCAAAATATCTAACCTGGAAATCCAAATCCCATGCTGAAGTCATCACGCTTATGTTCAGGTATACTGAAGTGATGAGAGAGTTACAGTGATAGGCCAGCTACAGGTTTTAACATCTCAGCATTCTTTCTTAGTGCTATATTCAGGTATACATGAAATAATTACATGTTAGAAAGCATTAGTGTAAAAGTAAGTACTAAGGAGCTAGTCAAAATTTTCATAATGAAGTCCAAGATAAGGAATACTTTCTGCTGAGAAAACTTTGGAGGGTACTTTACAAGGTATATGGAATACAAAGGAAATAAACCCTTCCACATACAATTGTTCTACAAGAATTTATTTAGGATGTAATACCAAAAATATGTATCCTCCCTGCTGCCAAGGCAGAAATAAACCATTCCACATACAATTGTTCTATTTATTGTTTATTATTGTTCTATTTATTGTTTATAAATTGTTTATTGAAATATGTATCCTCCCTGCTGCCAAGG